CGATTCTCGAACCCGCGGGCTCAGGCAATCCACTCACCTCAGCCTCCCAAAGGCGCGGGATTACAGGCTGAGCCACCAAGCCCGGCTCGCCTCTTGCTTTCTTGTAACAAGGCTGGGAGGTCGTAAGAGTGTGTTAGAGAAGCTGTTACTTTGGAACCAGAGTGGGAGTGATCGAGTCCTGCATCTGTGTAGCAGTGTGTGCATTTATAACTGTATACACAGGACACTAGCTGCTGCTGTACATCTAATGTATGTTTAAAATGTGTACGTTAAAAATATTAGCCGGGTTCGGTGGCTCAACCTGTAATCCCGTGTTTTGGGAGGCTGAGATGAGTGGATTGCTTGAACCCGCGGGTTCGAGACCCGCCTGGGCAACTTGACGAGACCTCATCTCTACAATAAATCAAAAAATCAACCGGGCATGGTAGCGCATGCCTGTAATTCTGGCTACTGGGAAGGCTGAGGCGGAAGGATTGCCGGAGCCCAGCAGTTCAAGGCTGCGGTGGCCGAGAGCGGCCACTGCACTCCAGTCTGGGCGACAGAGTGAGACTCCAACTCAAAAAATAAATAAATAAATAAAAATATTAAGGGGGGAAATTACTTGGCTATTGCCTAAACGTCCCCTTTCCCAAGGAGTTTTCTTAAGTTATCTTTGATGAAGCATGGCTTCCTGGACCAGGACCTGAGTCTCATGGAACAGCCCCTCCAGTGCCATACTCAGCCTCTCAGCACCCACTGCACTTGGGCCCACACTTCCTTTTCTTTTGAGAATAGTGCTGTGCCTGTTGGACCCTCTCTTGCCCTCCCTGAGCTTTTCTTTTCGGTCTTCTTTGAAGGCTCCTTCTTTTTTTTTTTGAGTTGGAGTCTCACTCTGTTGCCCAGACTGGAGTGCAGTGGCCACTCCCATGTGCACATGGACAGGGCTTTCCTCACCCTGACTAAGCTTTTTGTTTTGAATTGGAGTCTCACTCTACACCCAGACTGGAGTGTAGTGGCACACTTATGGCCACCGCAGCCTCAGCTCCGGAGATCCTTCCACCTCAGCCTTCCAAGTAGCTGGAACTATAGGTGCATGCTACCGGATACCCGGTTCATTTTTGATTTATTGTAGAGATGAGGTCTTGCCAAGTTGCCCAGGCGGGTCTCGAACCTGTGGACTCAGGCAATCCACTCGCCTCGGCCTCCCAACTGACATGGAGTTTATCATCTGGTGGGGAAACTTACTCCTGCAGATCATCGTTAGAACCAGTGGCCTAGTAAAGGTGTGTGTATAGTACTTTGAGAAACAGGAACCTTCCCTCAGGAAGTGACGCTTGACCTGAGTCTAAAGATTCAGAAATGTGTAATTGTGCCAAGTAAGAGGGAGCAGGAGGGAGTGGGACACTCCAAGGAGAGAGCCAGCGTGTGCACTTGCAAGACACAGATAGGCAAGGGCTGGAGAAGAGCGAGGAAGGGCAGGACAGAGGTCCCCAGAGGGTGTGAGGAGCAGAGGCTGCGAGGCTGTGCCAAAGAGCTGAGCTCCATTCTAAGAGCAGTGGGGAAATAGTGAAGAGTTTTCTACAAGGGCTGGGATGTGTGGCGGGAAAACAGGGGCAGACTCATATTTTGGGAAGGTCATTCCAGTGGTAGAAAAGAGAGCTGCAAGAGGGAGCTGGGGAGCCACGAGAGGGAAGGGGGCACTTGTGAGGAGGACTGTGATGAGAGCTGGGCCGTGTATGTGGGGGAGAGGGAGATGGCCAAGAGAAGATGTGGTCATAAAAAGGAAGGAGCCAAATCCAAGGAAACGAAGGAGAAGACAGTGTCAGCAGTGATTCTGGGTTTCCAGCTTATGTGACAAGGTGAATATTGTCACCATTCTGAGAGAGGGGCTCTAGAAGAGTATTCGATTTCATGGGAAGATAATGAGTTGAGTTTGTCATGTTGACTCTGATACACTTGCTACCAAGAGGGGAGCATTGATGGGCCGCTAGGTGCATCTGAAGCTCAGAGGAACACTTAAGACCAGAGTTCTTGGCATACAGGTAATGGTCAATGCAGTTTGATGGGGATTTCTCAGGAGAAGGAACAGGGCCTGGAATGCTGAGAGGAAAGGGCTGAGAACTGGAAACACTGCAATAGATAATTTGGGGAAGGAAAGTAAACTTGGGGGGAGATGGAGGAGAGAGGCACCAGGAAGAGAACGGCAACTGTCTTTCTGCTTGAGTTGTTGCTTCCAGGTCCGTGCAACATGCTGCACACTAACTATGTACGATGTACCATCTTGCTAGTGTCTTGTCTTATGGTGAATATGGATAAAGCTGCATGGTCCAAATTACTGCACTAAGTGGAAAACATATGCTTCTCCTTCCAAAACCATTTCTCTGCCAGTAAGCAAGCCAGAAACTTCAGTCATCTAATTTTTTTTCTTTAGTAATTCTTTCCAGTTTTTAATCATTCTTTTTTCTCTTTCCTAATTGTTGTATACTGCCTAGTTCAGTTTAGTTTATTCAGCATCAAAATTCCCATCATTTTTCCCCTAAACTGATTGGATCATATTATTATTGCTCAAAATCCCCAATAACTTGATCATTTTTAATGGGTAGATTTCAGGCTCCTGAGCACTGGCACTCCAGGGCTTCTGTGACCTGGGCCAGCTGGTTTCTTCTGCTTCTCCCTCCCCTGTGCCACCACATGGGACCTTCACTCTTTTTCCCTGAGCAGGCTCTGCGTTTCCAGACACTGCTTTGTTCATCTTACAAACCCAGATGAGAGCACCTGCTTTCTCTCTGTGCTGTTACCTGTCAGCCTCTACTCTTCCTCTCAAGACTGCTCCAAACTGGGTGTGGTGGCTCACACCTGTAATCCCAGCACTTTGGGAGGCAGAGGCAAGAGGATTGCCTGAGCCCAGGGGTTCGAGACCTCCCTGGGCAACTTGACAAGACCTCGTCTCTACAATAAGTCAAAAAATTAGCTAAGTATGCTGGCACTCACCTGTAGTTCCTGCTACTTGAAAGGCTGAGACTGAGAGATCTCCTGAGCCCAGCAGGTCAAGGCTGTGGTGGCACTGCACTCCAGCCTGAGTGACAGAGTGAGACTCCCAACTCAAAAACAAAAGGCTGCTCCAGTGCCTCCCTCCAAAAAACCTTACCCAGGTCCTCTCTGTTGCAGTGGTGACACCTCACGCTTCCATTCCCTCGCCTGCGCTACTTGGTGCCAGCTTCTTTTCTTGAGAGAAAGTGCCATCACAGCCTGCGTGTTCCACACAGCGCTTTTGCCTATGCTCATAATGTTGAATAAACTGTGCCTGTTAGTATAAGCTGGAAGGAAAAATGCTGTTTGTTTTTCTTATGTATAATTGCACTTGGTTTCAGTCCTGCTGTTATACTGTTTATGTAACTTTGTATGCATAGCACAGTCTTTTTTTCCCCCTTCCTGGACAGATTTGAGGGAGGAAGGGAGGCTTTTTTTTTTAAGGGAATTGTCTTGACCTTTAAAACAGTCTTAAAAATAGTCACTATCGCTTTACTTTTTCCAAAAATTTAAACTTTGAAAAGACCATTTTAAACACCTATTTTATAGTTTTTTTAAAGTAATGTATTTGCTATAGAAAAATGAGGAAACTAATAAATATGCTTTTTTATTGGGTTTATTTTTAAAGGTCACTCAGGATTGATATAGCAGTAAGTAAAGAATAAGCTTTCCATTAGTTGGAAGTTAATTAAGTGGCTGATAACCTGTTTTTAGGAGCTATACCTTCGATATTATTTTTGTTGTTTGACATGGCTACTGTTTTATTTGCATACACAATTTAAGATAATGAAAACATTTTGTTGAAATTATTTATATTTTTCTCCACTACTGTAAGAATGTTTCTGTATTTAAATTGAGATAGTGACTTCATGAATTTTCTAATAGGAAAGCTTTTGAAATAAATGGTAACTTTTATATCAGTTATTAAATTTGATTTCCCCTTTCTTATTATCACAGCTCTCAAGAGGCAGAATTTATATAATAATCCGTTCAACTCTATGAGTTACACGAGTCCTTACAGCCCAAATGCTAGCAGCCCCTACAGCAGTGGCTTCAACTCTCCATCCTCAACCCCAGTGCGACCTCCCATAGTTAAACAGCTAATACTTCCTGGAAATTCAGGTAAGGAGAAAATGAAATGGAGTCATTAAGGAGTGGTTTAAGTTACTGCACGCCATCAGAAAATCAGTTATTCATCAGCAGTTCAAGTTTGTTTTCCTTATGACACTTTGACCTAATTAGAGAAAATTACATTTAGGATCTACCTTGTACCAGGTACTGTCCTAGGCACCAAAAGGACAGAGATCAGCCATTGTGTTACATCCATATAGTTTTCTTGAGCATTTTCTTAGAAGTTGTTAAATGTGCTTAATTAAATGGGATCACAAACTTGATTCTTCTAATCAATAGATATTTATTTAACAATCTGTTTAGGTTGTAAAAGGTTCGGAGTTTAAAACTGTAGGCGTTCTTACAAGCTTCAGTAGTACCATTACATAATTGTATAACATTTTGTGTGAATGCACCAAGACTCACAGGGACTAGGAGCAATGTGGGAGGGGCATTTTGCTGGAGCCAGGGAAGGTCTGTTCTGCTCTGGTTTTGTGACCAAGGCTGCTATGGGGTGGCTTCCTCTTCCTGCTTCTATTGTTATGACTATTATGGCTTCTTTAAAAATTAAGTATTGTTAACCGCCTCAGACTTTGGCCCGTGTACTCCCCAATCTAATGCTCCTGCTCTTGCTTATTATACCCAGTGCCATATCTCACCTGTGGCAATATCACATGGAAACTTTCAATCTGCAGTATTTGTTTAGAATGCAGTATTTGTTTAGACTCAGGCATTATTTGAGCCTGACCCTGTAGTATTTTTCCTATCTATACTGTACTCTCATTAATAATATGAAGATTTATTATTGTGTATTCTTCTTTGCTCTCCTTACATGCCTTTCATGTTGGAGCTGACTCTTATGGTGAAGAATTCTGGAAAACAAGTGTTTCAAATAAATCTGTATTAGAAGTAGAGTGACAGTGTGGGGATTGTTATTGTCCTTCAGTAGAAGTCAATGACCTAATGAAGGTGTTTCCTTAGAAACACGTTAGACTCTTGAATGTGTGTTCCTTTTCTCCTGGCCTGTTTCGTGTCCCCTTTCAGTGTAGAATGATGAAGTACAGTATCTTTTGTGAATCGAGTTGCTTCATTATCCCATCATTTGTGCTCACTGCCAAATATCAGACAGCTCCTTGGATCCCCCTTACTGATCCCCCTTACCAGTTTGTCAAAGGAACGTTATAAGCATGGCTAATGTAGGAGCAGTGAGGCTTGTGTTCTTTTTTGTTTCTAAATCTCTAAGGAATTTAATTTTCTTCAAATCACAACATTGTTTAGAAAAAGATGCTTTCATTTAGGGAAAAGATGATGGTGTTTATTAATAACTGCAAGTTTGGGAGTTAAACTCATGTATTTGTACAGCAGTTTCATTGGCTAGTTTGTTGACATCCTCTAATGGTTATTTAACACTGGTTCCTTGCCAGGTGCTGTGCTGAAAGCATTACTGTTCCATAAAAGAATGATAAATTATACTTAAAGGAAAATACATTTTGTATTTATGTCATAGCATATAAAGGAGCCTCTATAGCCCTCGTTTTTCTTAATGAGGTCAATTTTTAATTTCAGGGAATTTTGCAAACAGGTAAGCAGAATAATAGTGATCTGGATCAAAGGATAGAATATCAAGCTAATTTTCAACAGACATTTATTCAATATTTTACCAAAGTTTGAATTTTTTTCTTTTTTTAAAGGTAATTTGAAAAGCTCATCAGACAGAAACCCCCCACTCAGTCCCCAGTCCTCTATAGATAGTGAGTTAAGTGCTTCCGAATTAGATGAGGATTCCATTGGATCCAATTACAAGCTAAATGACGTGACTGATGTGCAGATTCTAGCCCGGATGCAGGAAGAAAGTAAGTATTTTAACTGTTAAAAGTTGAGGTTTTTCACTGTTGCATTATTTTGTTGTGAGTATTAAATATGTCTTAAAATAGTATGTAGTAGAAGTAGAAATGTAGAGATGAGCCAGGCTTGGTAGCTCAGCCTGTAATCCCGCACTTTGGGAGGCTGAGGTGAGTGGATTGCCTGAGCCTGCGGGTTCGAGACCCACCTGGGCAACTTGGTGAGACCTCATCTCTACAATAAATCAAAAAATTAGCCAGGCCTGCTAACGCATGCCTATAGTTCCAGCTACTTGGAAGGCTGAGGTGGAAGGATTGCTGGAGCCCAGCAGGTCGAGGGTGTGGTGGCCGGGAGTGTGCCACTGCACTCCAGTCTGGGCGACAGAGTAAGACTCTAACTCAAAAAAAAAAAAAAAAGAAATGTGGAGATGGCCATTTTAGAGACTCCGTCAGCGCACATCCTCATTTGTTCGCTAACTTGTTTTCAGAGCCCGTTTGACACTCTGCCTGTGACTGGTGTTTGTTCCTGCCTGTCACTCTGCTCTGGTGCTCACTCACTGCACACTATTATACTATGTGTTTTCTAGTGTAAACCATGTTTTTCAACCTTTTATTAGTTGTTCCTCTAAGGAGCTTTTCTCGAATTTTTTTTTTACCTACCCTCCCCCTATGAAATTGTAATAGTATAGGTATACTCTAAACCTGTTTCAGTATTATGAGGGCCACAAACTGTTATGATAGCTATGATTTTTTCAAACTCCCAAGAATCGGTTTTTGTCCTCTTGGGCAAATCACCTTGCTTGAGAGTAGATTGTATACGCTATAGAAAAGACCTCTAGCCAGGCTCGGTGGCTCAGCCTGTAATCCCATGCCTTTGGGAGGCTGAGGTGAGTGGATTGCCTGAGCCAGCGGGTTCGAGACCCGCCTGGGCAGCGAGACCTCATCTCTACAATAAATCAAAAATCAGCCAGGCGTGGTAGCACATGCCTGTAATTCCAGCTACTCGGAAGGATCGCCGGAGCCCAGCAGGTCGAGGCTGCGGTGGCTGGGAGCGGCCACTGCACTCCAGTCTGGGCGACAGTGAGACTCCAACTCCAAAAAAAAAAAATACATAGAAAACTTTATCAAGTAGTAACCTTTATTTATTTTTATTTATTTTTTTGAGTTGGAGTCTTACTCTGTCGCCCAGGCTGGAGTGCAGTGGCACAGTCAGGGCTACCCCAGCATTGACCTGCTGAGCTTAGGCGTTCTTTCACTTCAGTCTTCCAAGTAGCCAGAACTACAGGTGTGCACTATCATGCCTGGCTAATTTTTTGATTTATTGTAGAGATAAGGTCTTGCCAAGTTGCCCAGGTTGTTCTCAAACCCATGGACTCAAGGCAAACAATCCCCTCACCTCGTCCTCCCAAAGTGCTGGGATTACAGGCTTGAGTTAATGCGCCTGTCCCTGTATCATTTATTAAGAAGCCGCAGAATGTTTCTTACTCTGCTGATTCATTTCCCATTTCCATATGACTTTCCCTAGAAGGACAACAGGACTCAATGCTTGATTTGTTTATCTAACCCTAGAAACCAACATCACGGGCCCCTTTTCCCTCACATTTTATTGAGCTCCTTGCTGAGTCTGTGGTATTGTCAGCTGGTGAGGGACTGGTTGTGGTCCTGAATGTGAAGAGAACATAAAGATGCTGCCGAACTCTATACCTGAGAGTAAAGTCACTCATTTCTTGTTTGAACCCTGACTTTTTATATCCCAATATTTTGTGAGAAGCTCAACCAGCCCTTTGCTCCCTTTGCTCTAGGTTTTGTATTGTTTTGATAACAAATCATATAAATTTTATCACTTAATAATTTTTTCTAAGCCATCCACATGCATAAATATTTATTTTTCTGGAGAATTAAAAAAATACTAAAAGTGTGTTGATATTTCCATAAAAACTTTAATTTTTTTTTTTAAGGAGATGATTTTCCTTGTTACAACATCGTTTCCCCAGATTTTTTGATAGCAGTTATATTGTAGAACTACAGATTTGGATGGTTGCTTGGTCCACCTCCTGCATTTTTAAGATGAAAATGCAGGATCCTCTAGCAATCGTGACTTCTTAGAATCCCCTTATGTGTGGAGAGCCTGCATTAGGAGCTGGATTTTTCTTTCCTGGCAGTACTCTTTCACTGATCTATTGTCTCTTAGTGTTTCCTTTATTTATCTCTAGCCCTAAAAACTGATAACATGAGACCTTTTTCTTCTGCCAACTTCTTGAACTCTTCATCGAGTCTGTGATATTATCAGCTAGTGAGGGACTGGTTATTATCAGGGATGTGAAAGGAAGAGAAGGATGATTTTCGTGCTGTGTTTACTAAAACTAGACACTGAGTAACTTGCAGTTAGTACTGTGACTCTGAAACTGACCGAAGGTCTAAGTGGACCCAGGAATGTGTAGTTTTATTTTATTTATTTGTTTGTTTATTTAGAGTTGGAGTCTCGCTCTGTTGTCCAGGCTGGAGTACAGTGGCACGCCCGACCACGGCAGCCTCAACCTGCTGGACACAGGGGATCCTTCCACCTCAAGCTTCCAAGTAGCTGGAACTACAGATGCGTACCACCACACCCGACTAATTTTTTTGATTTATTGTAGAGATGAGGTCTCATTAAGTTACCCAGGCTGGTCTCGAACCCATGGGCTCAGGCAGTCCTCTCACCTTGGCCTCTCAAAGTGCTGGGATTATAGATGTGAGCCACTGCACCTGGCTGGAGTGTGTAGTTTTAAAGATGCTTTGGATGATTCCCATCCACTATTTGGTGAACCATACTGGCAGCACTTTCTGTGTGTGAGCATGTGATTTATAGCTTTGATTACTGCTCTGTAAAATATCTTTTTGACTGGATTGCCAGTAGTAGCAGGGCTTGCTGAAAGTATTACCTAAATTCTATACTTTTTGTGTTATACTTTGTTTCTCATTGACTTTTATATATCAGCATTTGTTTTTGTTCCAGAAGCATCTATACAATTTGAAGGGCTCCTAAGGTTGTTTGGCATGTTTTTGAAGGTATCAAGCTACATAGGAGACTCTTGAAAATTCTTACTTGAAGACTTAGAATTTAAGTTTGTTTTATTGAAGTCTCTTAGGTAATGAAGCAATTGAGGTATCATTGTGTTCAAGTACTAAGTTCCAAACAGTGGGATAGAAGTGTCTTTCGTACCTTATCATTTTCATGAGTAAGATTACTCCACGGATTAAGTATCCAAGGAGTTTTGTTCACTGATATATTCATTTCCACTGGTTGGACAGTAACTGTGAGATAGGATTAGTTTCCTAGGATAAACAAGGCTAACCAGTGGCTGAGACAGCTACTCGAGACAGGTGGATGGCCTGGTTTTCTGAGCCCCCACAGAAAAAACAAGATGCGGTTGAGAACCAAACCGTTTAGAGCCGGCTAGAACCAAGATGACAGCTGATTTGCCTGCTACTTGACCTTGCCCCCCATGATACGCTCATTAGAATACATTATCATGCTCAGTGATAAGCCTTTCAGCCTATGACAGTTCAGACCCTGCCCATTTATAGTCACAAAGTGGGAGGAACACTGTTCTTAGAAATCTCCACCTCTTTCCCAGGATGCCTATGAATATTCTATCCTTGCTTAGCATATACTCAAGAGACAGCTATACAAATGTAATCCTAGCCCTGCCACAGTTGCTGTTCTTCTTGCAGACCCACCTGGGCTGCTCTGCCTGGTGAGAAGCTGCTTGCTATTCCTTTTTTCTTTAATGAACTCACTTGCACTTTACTTTGTCTGCTGACTCTTTTTTTTTTCTTTGAGTCAGAGTCTCACTCTGTTGCGTAGGCTGGAGTGTAGTGGCACACTCAGGGCCACTGCAGCCTTGGCCTGCTGGGCTCAGGTGATCCTTCTGCCTCAGCCTTCCAAATAGCTGGAACTACAGGCGTAACCCACTGTGCCTGGCATCTGCTCACTCTTAAATTCTTTCCTATATAAAGCCAAGAACCCAGTTGGCCTCTCAGGCTAGACCCCAATTTAGGGGTCCCTGTTCTATGTCAACTGTTTTCCCTCAGTATTTCTTTAATGTCATTCAAATTTGTATTACTGTTTTTAGGGGTAGAAATATTTTTTAACTATACCTAATCAAGCAGTTGAGATTTCAGATTCATGAAGACATCTCAAAGTTGAGCAAAAGTTTATGGAATTTCATTCAATTTAAAAACTTTCAGCCAGGTGCAGTGGCTCACATCTGTAATCCTACACTTAAGGAGGCCAAAGTGGGAAGATTGATTGAGCCCAGGAGTTCAAGAGCAGCCTAGGCAAAGTAGCGAAACCTTGTCTGGACACACACACACACAAATAACTGGGTGTGGTGGCATGCACTTATAATCCCAGCACTTTGGAAAGCTGAGGTGGAAGAATTGCCTGAGCCCAGTAGGTTGAGGCTGCAGTGAGCTGTGATCATACCACTGCACTCCAGCCTGGGCAACAGTTTTGAAGCCTCCACTCAAAAAAAATAAGTAAATAAAAATACCCTTCAGATGTGATTTATACATCGTTCTATGAGAGGGTGTCTAAAAAGTAGAAAAGGAGTTTCCCTTTACTCTGTTGAAATTTGTCAATGAAAGTCTTGTACTTTTAAGTTTTAAAAATATGTAAATGTTTGAAAATATAATTAAAGAAATAAAGTAACATTCCCTGTTGCCAGGTCTCCGGCAAGAATATGCAGCCACCACGTCTCGGCGCAGTTCTGGTTCATCTTGCAATTCTACAAGACGGGGTACTTTTAGTGACCAGGAACTTGATGCACAAAGTTTAGATGATGAAGATGACAGTATGCATCATGCGGTATACCCTGCTGTTAACAGGTTCTCACCGTCACCACGCAATTCACCTCGACCATCACCCAAGCAGTCACCTAGAAACTCACCGCGCTCACGGTCGCCTGCGCGGGGAATAGAGTACACTCGAGTGTCCTCACAGCCTATGATTAGCCGCTTACAGCAGCCGCGCCTTTCACTCCAAGGCCATCCCACAGACCTGCAGACCAGCAGTGTCAGGAACGAAGGTAAGGCCCAGTAGAGTAACTGGTGATGGAAAGGTGCCTGAAAAGGACATCCTTCATGTTCCAGGATTTTATGTTCAGAAAGTCAATTGGGAGATGACGTCAGGCTTGCAGTTTTATTGTTTTTTTGGGGTTTTTTTTGAGTTGGTGTCTCACTCTGTTGCCCAGACTGGGGTGCAGTGGCATGCTCCCGGCTACCGCAGCCTCAACCTGCTGGGCTTCGGCGATCCTTCCGCCTCAGCCTTCCAAGTAGCCAGAACTACAGGCGCGCGCTACCACGCCTGGCTAGTTTTTGATTTATTGTAGAGACGATGTCTCGCCAAGTTGCCCGAACGGGTCTCAAACCTGCGGGTGCAGGCAATCCTCTCACCTTGACCTCCCAAGGTGCTAGGATTACAGGTTGAGACACCGAGCCCAGCCTTGCAGTTTTATTAATAGTGAATCTGTACAAAAATAAAGGAGAAACGGAATTGTTATGTATTTGAGTAATTTTTGTGCTTTATGTTACTTGTGAAGTTACCTATTCAGATTTTGATTTAAATATGTAATTTCTGGCTCTCTTTAAGGGTTCTCTTATTCTACCCATTAACAGACTCTAGATTGAGTTACTTTATTTTTATATAAGATGAGTGCTTCCTGTTTTCTCATCTAAAATGTACAGAATGTTTAAATAAATAGTGTGATTTTTGAATGCTAATTAATGTTTTAATTTCTCTATCTGAAAGAAGGGGTTTTTTAAAAATTAAAATTATATCATTGTAGAAAAACTAAGGCGCAGTCTTCCAAACCTGTCCCGAACACCTAATACAGTTGACTCAGTGAAAAGCAGCCGAAGTGACTCAAATTTTCAAGTGCCAAATGGAGGAATACCTCGCATGCAAGCTCAGGCTTCAGCCAGTAAGTGTCTTTCTTATGCTTTCATTTATCAGTTATTTAAAGGAAGATGCAAATTTTAGGTGTTTATTTTTTGTTGAATAGCTGGATTAAGCTATAGCTAGCTATAGTTAGTTTTTTAGTGTTTATTAGTTACTATAAGATAATCATAGTATGGGGGGAGGGGGATGGGATTAACAGTAGCAAATATCTGTCGGGGTATGGGAAAACACCTCTTATCAACAGGGTGCCTGAATGAAACGTAAGTGTACACCTAACCCTTAACTCTACCCCACAAAACCATAATAAAAAATACTGATTAATTTAAAAAAATTTTTTTTAATTTATAAGATACCCAATTCTATCACTTCTTACATCTGTGTGAAACTCTAGTCTCTCCAGAATTTTAAATAAGCAAAGTCTAACTACTTAGGAAAAAAATGATAGGTGTATCTTTTGCTTGCAGAGTTAGAAGTATATATAGTAGCTAGTGTAATATCCAAAATATATATCCCTTAGTAAGTACTTAAGTTTTCTTTAATAACAACCTCTGTTTTTAAAATAGCTAAAAGTTTATTATTATTTTTAGAGCACATCATACTTAAACAATTTATTGTTCAGACCTATAGTGTATTAACTCTATTATCAAAATTGGATTTTTGTAGCTCTTCTTTTCTTTCCAAAGCAAAAATATCCCCTGAGAGCTCTTGGGTAACCTCGCTTTATTTCTGTACCTGTTGATACAAAATTCTTTATTTTCATTTGATTGATAATTCTTTGCTAAGAATATTTTTTTGAGAACAGTATAATATTGAATCAGTATTAAGTCAGGTTATAATAATCTAATCCTAATCCTACTTACAGATTAAAATTTGAGATAATAAATTGCCAGAAACTTTTTAAGAATGGATAAGAGTTTCTCTATTTAGGTTATCTTTTGGAAAAGAAATACTTAGAGTTAAAACTAAACTCTTAAACAGAGAAGATGAATTTTAGATAATCAAAGAAAAAACACATGTAGATTATACATTTTAATAAGTTTTGGTAATTCAGTAGTTCCTAACCCATGAATGTGAAAACTTTTTTCAATTATTATTTGTAATAAATATATGAGTTTTTATTTTTTGATAAGTAGTATGAGAATAAATACAGATATTTCTACTGTAGCACCAAATACACATTCCTTTAAAATCTCACATCCTACAATATTACACATTGAAAATGACAGCATGGACCAGGCTCAGTGGCTCAACCTGTAATCCCCTACCTTGGGAGGCTGAGGTGAGTGGATTGCCGGAGCCCTAGGTTCGAGACCCACCTGGGCAACTAGGTGAGACCTCATCTTTACAATAAATTTAAAAAAAAATTAGCTGGGTGTGGTAGCGCGCACCTGTAGATCCAGCTACTTGGAAGGCTGAGGCGGAAGGATCACTGGAGCCCAGCAGGTCGAGGCTGCGGTGGCCGGGAGCAGCCACTACACTCCAGTCTGGGCAACAGATTGAGACTCCAACTCAAAAAAAGAAAATGACAGCATGGTGGGTGAGTAGTCCTGGCACAGATACTGAAAGCCCAAGCAGCTTTATCACTAGAGCATTGATTAAACACAATAACGATCCTATAAAAGCACTCGCACAGGTAAAAGTATGCTGAGTCCCCAGTGAATAAAATACTGTAGCACATACAGGATGTCATGCTTTAAAAAAGAGTGGAAGGTCATGGGATGAAAAGGAAGAGTTAAACTTTGGAGTTAAGGAGACACATGCAGCACAGGTAAAGGTTAGAGAGGATCATGAGTAGGAACGTCTCAGGTAGCGTGGCCACACTCAGCCAGGAAGTGGTGGCAGGGAGCAATTGGGCATTGCGTGCCTTCATGTACAGGTAATTGAAAAACAATCAGACACTTTCAGAAGTTATTGCTTATTATCTAGAAAAGATACGAGCGTGTAGTTAAGACAGGTTTAAATAAACGATGACAGTTATTTCTGTGCTCTTGGCAAATGCTCCACAGGTCACAGCAGGTCTGCACATGGGACAGAGGGCTGCAGGCTTATGCAGACCCTTGTAACATGTCATTGCTCACAGTTTGAAGGGGTGGTAGCCATGACACGCACCTTCACTTTTTTAAGGCTGTGAGAAGTGATGAAAACACTAGTTTATGGACACTCATTTATAACTTGTCTCTTGAGCAGTTACAATTTTGAAAGAATTCAATTCTTTCTTAGTTGCTTTTCATTCTTCCTTGACTCTGTTGTGTTTAGCTGATGTCACATACTTTATGTTCAGATGCTGTCACTTGGTGACTCAAAAGTCAACAAGCTAGGAAAAACACATTTGAATCCAAATTACTTCAGTGACATATTGACAAATTGTCCTTACTTACTAGTTGCATATGATATTTATATTACAAAAATTTGCATTATACTGTATTTACATGCATCATCTTAATTAATCCTCAGAACAATTCTTTAAAGGAGGTACAGTTATTAACACATTATACAGATTAGAAATTGAAGTTTTAGCCAGTGGCTCATACCTGTAATCCCAGCACTTTGAGGGGCAGAGGCGAGAAGATTGCCTGAGCCCAGGGGTTTGAGACCAACCTGGGCAACTTGGCAAGATCTCGTCTCTACAGTAAATAAAAAAATTAACCAGTTATGGTGGCATGTGTCTGTGGTTCCAGCTGCCTGGAAGACTGAGGTGAGAGGATCCCATAAGCCTAGCAGGTCAAGGCTTCAGTGGTGGTGCGCATACCACTGCTATCCAGTCTGGGCAACAGAGTGAGACTTCCAACTCAAGGGAAAAAAAAGAAATCGAAGCTCTGAATGATTAAATTACTTATCTGTGATCAAACGGCTCCTAAGTGAAAGGTTAAAATATGTAGGACATAATGGAATTTTAATCTCTCAAAAAAATTTTTTTTTTTGAGTTGGAGTCTCACTCTGTCACCCAGGATGGAGTGCAGTGGCACGCTCACGACCACCCCATCGTCAACCTGCTGGGCTCAGGCGATCCTTCTGCCTCAACCTTCCAAGTAGCTGGAACTATAGGCTACCATGCCTTGCTAATTTTTTTGATTTATAGTAGAGATGAGGTATCACCAAGTTGTCCAGGCTGTTCCCGAACCTGTGGGCTTAGGCAATCCTCTCACCTCAGTCTCCCAAAATGCTGGAATTATAGGCTTGAACTACCACGCCTGGCCAACCTCTAATTTTTTTAAGCGAAAAATATGTATAGATGCAGTTTTGTAATCACGTATTTCATTATTTGAATAATTACAGGCAGAAGAGAAAGTAAGGTACCATCGTTTTTTTCAATTGTATATGCTTGTTTATTTTTATATTTGTAGCTGTAGTAAAACTTACTTAGTTAAAATGTTACAAATAGTGTTACCTGTTTTTCTTAAAATGTTGTCATTGATAACATGAAAATATGTTATTTTAATTAGTATATATAGTTTTCATACTTTGATATGTTTTTTATTATGTTTTTATTTTGATATATAAGTATGTATAAATATAATAGCAAGTTTGATACATTTATATATGAGTTGCTATTTTGTATCGTTTGTGTAAACTTTAGTTGTTGGTGTAATAAATGCTGCATTTGTTTTCTCCTAAGTATTTATTTTTCCAGCTCTTAAGTGGTACAGCTTTGGTTCTTACTTGCTGGTCTGCATGAACCTAACTTGGCAAGGTTGCTGTTACTTCCACCTGAAGGATCACTTCTTTTGCCTTGTTACTATGCCAATCACTATGTTTATCTGCTTATTTGCTGTGGCTGCATTATTGTGGATGCTGGCATTCGACTACGAGTATTATGAGAGTTCTAATATATTTTCATTTGTTTAGCTACTGCCAATTTTTTACTTTTGTATTTGGAACGTATTACTTAAAAAGTTTAAGAAAACCAGAGCATTGCGGAGGTCATGAATACATGTCACTTTCTCAGCTTCTTCAGTTAAAGTAAGGAGTGTTTGTGAGGGGCAGAGGCTTTCAAAGGGCTGATGCTTTCCTTTCTAATACTAATAGAGCACAGGTGTAGCAGAAAGTGTAGTTTTCAGAAAAACCTAGGAATTACTGGTTCAGAAGTGAGGAAAGGGAAGAAAGGAAGACCCAAGATGTTCTACTGATTAAAAAAATAGTAGTACCCAAATTTAGTTTTCTTTAAACATTTAAAGTACTTTTACATACTTCTCTCATTTGACCCTCACACATACTTACTTATCTTTATAGAAAGGGATCAGAGATTCATATAGATTATACGAGTTGTATAAGGTCATAGAAGAGTGGCAAAAGCAAGGCCAGCTTTCTCCTCCCTTCCAGTCTCTCCACCAGTCTCTCTCAAACTTTTTTTTTTTTGAGTCGGAGTCTCACTCTGTTGCCCAGACTGGAGTGCAGTGGCCGCTCCCGGCCACCGCAGCCTCGACCTGCTGGGCTCCGGTGATCCTTCTGCCTCAGCCTTCCGAGTACCCGGAATTACAGGCGTGTGCTACCACGCCCGGCTAATTTTTTTGATTTTAGTGTAGAGATGAGGTCTCGCTGCCCAGGCGGGTCTCGAACCCGCGGGCTCAGGCAATCCACTCACCTCAGCCTCCCAAATGCGCGGGATTACAGGCTGAGCCACCGAGCCCGGCTAGTCCTCA